GTTGGAAGCTACATACCACGACAAAGCCGGCCCGAGCATCACGTTAACGAACGCCGAAGGGGACAACTTAGTGGTAAGCCTGAGCGTTGACAACCTACAAAACGAGGCAAACAGGAGAGAATCAAGCCAAGACAGGAAAATAACAGCGCTGATCTCGAGACCCAGTCAGTCAGACTGTGCAAGGATCGCTAACAGGTCCGCGAATAGTCGTTTAGGTTCGATGGGGTGGAAAAACCGTTCGAGTTCCTGGAGCTGGTGAAATAGTCCGCCAACACATACGGCTTGGAGTTAGACATGATTCCTCGAGCGATGCCTGAATTGCTTAAGGAAAGGGCTCTGAAGTGGTTTATCGCCAACAACAAACAATGGAAAACCTGGGCGGAGTTCATAGATAGTTTCCACACATACTTTCTACCGAGAGACTTCTTCACCAGGCTGGCGGATCAGGTCAGGCAACGGAAGCAGGGCTTCAGCGAGTCGTTCAAAGACTACATGATCGACATGCAGACGATGGTGAGGCCACTTAATTATTCCGCGAAAGATACCCTAAGGATCATCAAGGAAAACTGCACCCCAAGTCTAAGGATCTTCCTAAGGGCGTACAAAGTGTCGGACCTGGACACGCTGATGATATTAGCAGATGAGTATGAAGAACTCGCAAAGGAGTGGGAAGCGTTCGCACAAGAAAACAAATTCTCGAAGACCAAGTCGGCATCACCAACGCAAGTAACATACAGAAGATGCGAAGAGACAGGAACCCAGGAGACACGGGGAAACGACCAATGGCCGCCACCTAACCGAGTCACACGGCAGCAGGCAACAGGGGTACCACGCGGAGGCCAATGGACACCGCCACAACAGCAACAGATGCAGCCAGCAAACACTGTTTGGAGGCCACCAAGTACAACACAAAGGCATTGTGAAACGACACACATCACAGACCCCCAGGGAGCCTGTCGAAAGTGCGGTGGTCATGGACACTGGGCGCGGGGTATCGGCACCAACGCTTGTTGTTCTGCTGGGTGTGCGGGAGAGTAGGCGTCAGGAGCGTCGACTGCTGCCAGCAGACGGGAAATGCCCATTGATCTCAGCAGCAGAGAGGCGAGCGGGGGTCGCAAGATGCTACCTCTCCAAACTAACGCGAAAGCTGATCGAGGAGGAGCAGCAGTTGTCCGCAGCGGTGACGATTGGTAAGGGCACATACAAGGCCACAATCGACACCGGGGCAACAGCAAACTTTATAAGCAAAAAACTGGCGGACAACCTGGCTGCCCTCGGGAAGATTACGAGGATACGACGGCAAGTTAGGTTGGCAGACGGGAGATGTGGCGGTATCGATTAGCAGCTGGAGGTGGAAATCACGTTCGGGAACAAGCGACTGAGCATGAGCCTGCTGATACTACCAGGGGTAGTGGTTGCGATGGAACTTTCTAACACAAGTCGGTACCGAGATTAAGTGCGCTGGACACGAAGTGATAATACCGGCCAGGAATCGACACAAGGGATGGCTCCAGGAGAAGCTATCGGTGGCAGTCGTACAATGAGCAAGCGAAGACGACGACACGACGAAATTTCTGGAAGCAGAGCTATCGAGTTTCAGCAGCATGAAGGGAACATCGAACATGGCAGAGCATCAGATCACGATGAACGACGACAAACCAATAAAGCAGCGATATTACCCCAAGAATCCGAAAGTTTAAGGGGAGATCAATGCGAAGGTGGACGAGCTTCTCCAGATGGGATACATAGAACATTCAACAAGCCCATACAGCTCTCCCATCGTGATGGTTAAAAAAAAAGACGGGCAAATGGAGACTGTGCGTCGACTTTAGACAAATCAACGCCAAGTCGATAAAGGATGCATACCCGATGCCCCGAATAAATTATATTCTCGACCAATTGAGTAAAGCACGGCACATCAGCAGCTTGGACCTAGAGGATGGGTACTGGCAAATCTCACTGAAAGCAGACAGCAGGCACTTCACGGCGTTTACAGTGCCGCGGAAAGTCTTATTCCAGTGGAGAGTAATGCCATTCGGACTTCATTCGGCGTCTGCGACCATTCAACGGGTGCTGGACTGGGTGATCGGTCCCGAAATGTCGCCGCAAGCATTTGGTTACCAGGATGACATCATAGTGATCGGGCGCTCGCTGGAAGAACACAAGGCTAACCTGATGGAAGTGTTCCGACAGCTAAGGGAGGACCACCTGAGGTGAGAAGTGCCAATTTTTCAAGAAAAAACTGTTGTATCTTGGTCATCGAGTGACTAGCGAAGGAATAGGCACGGATCCGGAAAATGTAGCAGCCATCGCCGAGCTACAACCACCATCGACAGTAAGAGAGCTCCGACAGTACCTGGGCGTAGCATCATGGTACCGCCGGCTTGTACCTGACTTCGCAAAAATAGTCTAACCTCTTAACGATCTGCTACGCAAGGGCAATAAGTGGGTGTGGACACAGGAACATCAGACGGCGTTCGAAGAGGTGAAGGCAAGACTCGTTGCAGACCCCGTACTGGTATGCCCGGATTTAGACAAACCATTCATCTTGCAAACTGACGCGAGCGACTACGGCATCGGGGCAATCGTGACCCAGGAAACTGAACGAGGCGAAAAGGTTATCTCTTACTCAAGCCGAACGCTCAACGGCGCTGAGAAGAATTACTCAACGACCGAGAAGGAGTTCTTGGCAATCCTCTGGGCGATTCGAAAGCTCAAACCGTATCTGGAAGGTTACCACTTTAAAGAAGTAACCGACCACATGGCGCTGAAGTGGCTCAACAGCATAGAAAGCCCTTCAGGGAGGATCGCCAGAGTTGCAGCAGTACGACTTCAAAATTGCGTACAAGAAAGGGCAACTCAACGTGGTGGCAGATGCTTTGTCAAGTCAGCCAATGCCGGAAACGCTTCGAGGGATCAAGAAGACGTCGGCGGGGGAAGCTTCTGCAGCATGCAGCTGGGTTTTGGAAATGCGCGAAAAGATAAGGACCCAGCCGCAAAAGTATCCGGACTACGTGATGGAGGGTAACACCCTGTACAGGAATATACCTCATAGAGCGGGCAGCGAAGATGTCGCAACATGAAAGATGTGCGTTCCGAAAGCTCTACGGTAAACGGTGCTGAAGGAGAACCACGACTCACCGGCGGCTGGCCATGTATTAAGCCGAAAAACAATAGCACGTCTGGCAGCCCGGTACTACTGGTCAGGAATGCACAGAGACGCCCGAGCCCACGTGCGAGGATACGAGACATGCTTGAGATTCAAGCAGAATCAGATGCAAATGGCTGGAAAAATACTGACGCAGGTGCCAGAGGAACCATGGGCTACGGTATGTGCGGACTTCGTCGGACCCCTGCCGCGTTCGAAGCACGGCAACCAAATGCTGCTGGTATTGATATACCGGTTCTCCAAGTGGACTGAGTTGGTGCCGCTGCGAAGCGCGGCCGAATCCCTAAAGAAAGCTTTTAAAGAACGCATAATCGCGAGGTATGGGGTCCCCAAAATAGTCATAACGGACAACGGAGTCCAGTTTGCCAGCAAATTTTTCAAGAGTTTCCTGGCCGAAATGGGCGCCAAGCAACAGTTTACAGCTCCATACACCTCACAGGATAACCCGACTGAGACAGCAAATAGGACGGTGAGGACAATGATAGCGCAGTTTGCAGGTCAGAAGCAAAGAAACTGGGACGAAAAATGGCCGGAAATCATGCTGGCAGTAAACACGAGCGTTTCAGAATCCACAGGTTATCGTCGTTCATTACCTAAGGCAGAGCGCCCTATACGACAGAGAAACCGTAGGGACCGGACGACCGACTGAGTGCAGGAGGAGAAGGAGAAGGCAAACAAACTCAGAGAAATCTTCGAGATTGTAAGGCGGAATCTGGAGAAAGCATCCCAGGATCAGCCTAGGCATTATAACCTAAGGAGGAGACAATGGACGCCAAAAGTGGGTGACGTCGATTGGGTCAAGGAACACCACTTATCAAAAGCGGCCGAGGGGTTCGCAGCAAAATTGGCCCCAAGATACGACGGACCTAACTAAGTCATGGGTTTTGCGTCACCAGTAATCTGCAAAATACGACATATAAACACAAAGAAAGAGCGGACCATTCACGCAAGCGAGCTGAAACAGCAACAAACGGAAAACACAAGCGAGCAGTTACAGCAAGCATACACAACAGACGCAAAACAACATTGAAAGTCCAAGGATACCTCCAAGGATTCCCAAAGGATAATACAAACAAAAAAAGTCCAAGGACATACCAAAGGATACCACGAAAGGAGTCCAAGGATACCTCCAATGATTCCCAAAAGATACTACGAAAAGAGTACAAGGATACCTACAAGGATTCCCAAAGGATACCTCCAAGGATTCCCAAGGGATACTACGAAAGGAGTCCAAGGATACCTCGAAGGATTCCCAAAAGGATACTACGAAAAGACTCCAAGGATACCTCCAAGGATTCCCAAAGGATACTACGAAAAGAGTCCAAGGATACCTACAAGGATTCCCAAAGGATACATCCAAGGATTCCCAAGGGATACTACGAAAGGAGTCCAAGGATACCTCGAAGGATTCCCAAAAGGATACTACGAAAAGAGTCCAAGGATACCTCCAAGGATTCCCGAAGGATACTACGAAAAGAGTCGAAGGATACCTCCAAGGATTCTTAAAGGATACTACGAACAAATTCCAAGGATACCTCCAAGGATTCGAAAGGGATACTACAAACCGACTCCAAGGATACTACTGGGCAACTACAAAGGTGCAATGAAATACATAAAGGACATCAGGAGAACGTTAAGAACACAAAGGGAGCAAACCAGAGCGTCTAAAGACTCGATTGGGACTGGTTGGAGGAAAGAAAAAAACACGCATCAACAGTCTGACGAAGGAAGGGGGAAGACAGCACAGATTAAGCAAAGAGGAAGGCTCGGAACCGAGTTGTCGTTGAAGGGAGCCCAGGCTTCAAATTAACAATCAAAATCGACAAGCATCATGAGCACACGTGTGAAGAGGAGCGAAGCGCGCAGTATGATGGCTGCCCACCAGCCGTCCGGAGGATCCAGCCCGGGGAAAGGATGGTCGACAACCCGGCCTACCCGAACCTCGCGGCGGATCTCCGGGCGGGGCATTCCCGAGCCGGTCATCAGGTCCGACAACGACGGCGAGTTGGTGGAAGACCCGCGGGTGGAGCAGCAGCGATGGCGGCTTCGCAGAGCTGTCAACCGGGCCTACGGCCGCATTCCGACTGGCGCGGCGGAGGTCGAATGGACCAGCGAGGAGCCGCCCCAGGACCAGCAGGCTCCCGGTAGCCACGCCGAGTCTCTGGCAGCGGCTACGTGGGAATATCGCCGGAAGTGCGTGGAGCGACAGCGGAGCGAGAAGCGGCGGTTGAAGGAGATGGAGGAATCACCGGAGAGGCAGCCCCAACTGCGGACGGCCGAGGAGGAGGAGCAGCAGCTGTGGGGAAAACCCGGGGTACCCACCCACACCGAGGTATGAGCCCGAACCCTGCATCCCGCCACCAGAAGTGGCGCAGGTGTGGGGGGCAGGTGGCTGCCCGAAGTCCCACCCACACCGCGGTACGAGGAATCACCGCAGTGAACGCCAGCAAGAGCAGTCACCCCCGTTGCAGCACACCGAACAACGACAGCAGCCACAACGCGAGCAGCCACCACCGCAGCAGCAACCGGAACAACTCGAGCAGCCACCACCGCAGCAGCAGCCCGTACGACAACAGCAGCCACAACGCGAGCGACGCCAGCAGCAACAACCCGATCCGTCGCAGCAACAGCCAGGGAATTCGATGGGACAACACATCCGAACGAGCATACCGGCGGCGCACGTGATCCACAGTACCCGGACGTTCGTGGCCGAAGGGGTAAGGTGGCGGCAGCAGACGGTCGTCTGGACCTGGCCGGAGGAACCCGCGGAGGAGACGGCGGCGACGGAGGAGCCCCGAATCTGGGAGGAGTGGTCCCCGGGTGAGCCCGCTGAACCCCAGGACCCGCGGCAGACCGGAGCATTGGGCCCCACCGACACCGAGCACCGGACCGACGACGGCAAGGACAGGGCCATCGACGCCAGCGCCAACAGGGAGCGCGACGGTAACCGCAGAGCCAGATGAGCCGCTGGAGCGAGGACCCTGGGTGTGGCCCGAACCCGTGGAAGGTGGCCGACCTCCGCTCAAGCGGCAGCACTCGGCGCCCGAAGTGTCCGAGGTGGTGGCTCGACCGAAATTGTCGCGAACGGTGTCGGCGCCGGAGGCCCACCGATGGCGAGAGATCGCGGAGAACGAATGGCCCGAAGGGATCGCGGAGGCACCGGCAGTGAAGGAGGCTCGCAACCTGGGCGGCAGGCGCAGCGTGCGCGTATGGAGGGAGGGGCGCGTGTTCCGAGTCCGGTTGGGGCTTGCGGGCACGAGAGTGTTCAGCAGCCGAATAAAGTTTAAATAAATGAAACGAAACAGAGTTTGAAACCGGCATAGGACGGGAAACGCGGCTGAAACATGGGCCAGAAGAAAGGGGTGGGATGCCAGCTCTGGCATCCTGAAATTCACATTGGGTTAATACAGGAAGCAGCCAAACGATACCAAAATACTCACAAGCAGCGAAGCAAATGCAAAAGTCCTCTCCGCACTTGCTCTCGAGTGTTGCCAGCATGGAGCCAGGCTCAGCCGGCTGAGGACGATTGAAGGGCGAAAGAGAGAGCCGAGAGGCGAGAGCGGTCGTATGGAGAGAGAAAGGATGAAATCGAAAGAAGTGAAGAAATGCGAAAACTTACCTAGAAAGTTGCAAAAATCACCATGAGCCAGGGAAGGGGGCGCCTCGACAGGCGATCGATTGGCACTGGACGATAGTGCGATCGATGGGCACACAAAAATGGAAATATCGGCTAAGGTGGAAATATCGCAACGAGCAAGTGGCAACGCCTCACCGTCAGTATCGATAGTCGCAGAAACATCGAAACACGGGAGATAATGACGCGGGAGATTTAAAGTTGCTACGAGGAGGATGACCAGCGCTGTAGGAACTCAGTAGAGTTAAGAGCGTCGAGGGATCATCGGGGGGGCAACGAGGGAGCGCCGCGGAAATCACAAGGACTCGAAGGCTAGGATATGCAAGGAAACGCCGGAGAGTAGGAACCAGTTTTAAATGTTTCGCGAAGTAAGGGGGGAATGTGAGGAGTTGAATAACTCCCCACAGGAGTTATTCAACTCCTCACAAATAGAAGCAGCAGCAGGTGGCCGGCCGCTTACCAGGTACGCGGCGAATTCTCGTAGTAACGGCGCGGCGAGGAGCGTTTGGAGACTTGGATGTAGAACGTGAGAGTTTGGAGACTTGGATGGAGAACCAGAGGGATTGGAGACCAAGGAAAGAGAGCGAGAGAGTTTGGAGACCAAAGATGTAGAACGAGAGAGTTTGGAGTCCAAGGATGGAGGTCGAGAGAGAATGGAGCCCAAGGAGCGGATAATGAGAGAATGGAGTCTTGGCGGGCAAGGCAAGAGTGCCGTGTGCAAAGCCAGATAACTCCTCCGGACTTTGGACTATCCCGTGAACTTTGGACCGGGAGAAGAAGTGCCACATCTCGGCAGTGGAGCGGCACACAGGCGTGCCACAAGCATCACGGGAATCAGCGGGACTGCAGTGGTGGGCGGAGCATCGATTGGAAGCGGTACGTTAAGGACAAGTGGGCTAACCAGGAGGCACGGACTTTGGACCCGGAGTTGAGAGATCCAACGGTCCATGCCCAAAAGGGAAATGACGGTTCCCGGAGGCCCTATATAAGGCCGCAGAGCGCTGGCAGCTGGATCAGTCGATCACAAGGAGTCAACCGTCAAAATGAATCAATCAAAGTGAACAATCAAAACAGCCAGATAATATACAAGGGAGCAACAGCAAGTCGAGTCGTCGGAGAAGCAGCGCCGTGGGAGCCTACGAGGAGCAAGATTGCTACGTCGAGACGTTCGGGATTGAGGTACCAGGAATCTCCGAATTGAGACGCAGGTAGCTAAGGTCCAGAGGGCATCACACGGCTAGGTCAAGGCGGTCGGCTTAACCCTATCAACAAAGTCTTGGCGTTACGCCTGGAGGATAACGAGTATAACAAGCCAGAAGGGAGAGCGGTCGATCGGTACGGTCTCAAGTGGAGTTCTCCAGGAGAGCCATACGGTTTCGACTTGCGAGGTCCAGGAGCGGCGTGCTCGAACCCCGAGTACCAAAAGCCACGCTACGTCCAGTCGCGCAGCCAGCACCGCCAGGAGCAGTGCGCGAGATAGCGTCAGCCGCAAGCCAGCCACCACATCACGACAGCCACACAACACAGAGCGAGCCACGCGGAAACGTCCCGGACCACACGCAGAAGGGTGAGGCTAGGGCGGAACGTTCGTTTACACTAGGCGTAGAAGCAAAGTAAAGCGCGAGGCAGCTTCCTGGCGTTCCGCCTTGACTGTCCGCGCGGACTGAGCAGAAACCCCAGTGGGACCATCCGGGACAGAGCAAGGGACAGGCGGCGGTGTGTCGAAAGGAGTGATACTGGAGAGCGCAGCTTTTGTTACCCCTAGTCTGAGAACGGTGACGCTTCCCTAAGCCAGTACGGCTGATCCCCCTCGCGAGTCCGAGTCGTTACCAGCAGTCACCAAGTCAACGCGTCAGCAGCGAGCAGCGAGCGAGCATCTTCAGGGAGCTGGAAGGATCTTCAGGGAGCTGTGAGGATCTTCAGGGAGCTACAGGACTGGAGCACTGAATCATCAAGGCGAGAGGTCGTCGAGTCAATCAGGACCGTCGTAAGTACCGAAGGTCACAGGCGACGAGTCAAGGCCAACCAAGCTACCAAGACATTTGTAATAATATACCCGCAATAAACCCACTACGAACCCGTGAATTCTGTTCTTTCTCACTGAGCTACTGGGCGGTCACGTTTATATAAATTTGGTGGGACGAACACACAATCTACTGAGCTAGCCGCACGAATCTCGTAGCGAGCAGACCTCAAAAATAAGGTCGTTACAAAATATCCCTAACTAGGGGTGTTAGCCGCTTCTACACAACGGGGTTCCGCTAAACTAACATGCCCTTATTTTCCCTTTTTCTAGTCAGCTCAAATGTTCCAAACGGAACGGCCGTGTTTAGATAAGGAATCTTTCCAAAAACCCCCTCCCGCCAGTCGTCGGAAATCAGGTTGTTTGACCGATCATTCTCTCATATCCACAACCGTCTCCTATTTCTCTGGACTCGAACCAAGCAGGTCGTTTGCTTACCAGCCTAATACGTTGTGGGGCGTCGGCCAGAGAAACTAAAAATCGTCCACCGCCAAAATATGTCAAGGGAAACCGCAAAGACTCGAACCAAGCAAACGACCGGACAAATGCCTTGTACGTTGTGGGGCGTCGGCTTTGCGTTTCCTGTCAGTTCCCCCACCCCCATTCTGTCCTGGATCAACAAACAAACAGTAGAGCCGCACCGCAACTGCATAATGCGTTACCGTAATGCTTGCCCTCTTGCTCTTTCTGGACTCGAACCTATCAAACGAGCTGACAAATGCCTAGTACGTCGTGGGGCGTCGGCCAGAAAGCACCTAAAATTGTATTTACTTTAATTTCAACAAATAGTCGGTCGGCACTTAGATGTAGGTATAGTATTATAAAAGGGATAACTCATAGTTCTTGATTTAAGGAAATTCTGGTAAATTGACCCATGAACAAAACAGGGAATTTCAACAGTTAAAAACGATTTAAAGTCAGATCTCTATTCTGCGACAAAGTTCTGATTGAGTGGTCACTCAACACTGACAGTCAGAGAAATTGGGGACTTTACAGTAACCAGTTGAAAGACAAAATAAATAAGTATGCGCATATTTAAAATTATTTAAGCTCCCTGCTCTATCAAACAGTCAAACTACTCATGGCAAATAAAGATGAAAGTTATGCCATCCCTAGGTATACCCGCTTCGATACCGAAGGTACCGAGATTGTGGACCCTGGTAAAATTCCTTAAGGATTATGAAATATCTTATCGTTGCGTGCCAATTCTGTTACGTGGGCATATTAGTGCCCGGTCCTGACAAGGTCTTGGGCCGAGGGAGAGGCGTCCGATACTCAGCCACCGTTTGCCGGCATAAGCTACGTCGTATTAAATGTGCCTGGAAAATAATATTAGTCATAAAGTTCGTCAGTCATCAGTCCACACTGCCCAACAAGCTTAACTGTCGCTTGATCGCAATACGATCGGGCTGTTTTTTTTGCCATATTCCCTCCCCTTCACACATTTGTGTGCCTATTGTCAAGGTTGTCCGTCAAAAGTTATGTCATTGTTCTTGACCTACTCCACTTCTCGCGTCACCACTCCCCCTTAATAAAGCTTTAGCACTTTATGTTTTGATATTCTTTTACAATACCAATTTATTGGGTAATATTTATATCGGCGTAGATGAGTAACATAATGTTGGCTAATTTATATGGAAATTAAATTAATTGACAATTACTTTTGTTAGCGGAGAGTATCGAATTTACCACCTGCGAAGGTGCACACATCAGCAAAATGCTGACTATTCACGACTACATACGTCGCTCAGAGGGCTCTTGCAATTGTCATACAATTACAAGGCTGATACTCGCCGCTGAAAAATTAACATTTAATTATTATATATAAAAATGTATAATGCATAAAAAGAGGAAAGTAATAATAATTGTTTATGGATATTATTGTATGAATTCCTAACCAATTAATTCTTGGTCTTAACTAGGAAGGTATTAACATTGCCCAAAAATAAATTCTTATCTAAACGGGAAAGGACAATGACCGTTGGAACGGTAGAGATAATGATTGCCTTTTCGGTCTTGTTACAGTGGGCAAGTTGTGAAAAATCTAGACGGAAGGTCTCAATATATAAGTACACTAATTGATGCACAGTTATTGGTAGGGGTGCTTTTGATAATAAGTATAGAATTCTTACGTTCAATTGTGGATCACTGTCTATAGTCTTTGCTAAAGCTTCCGAAGTGATCATGGTGCACGGATATATATATATATATGTATTTATAAGAAAGGAACCGTGTTCCGACAAACTTACCCTCCTTTTAATCCTGGGCGATGAGATCTTTGGGAGATGTTTTAATTGGTTTATATT